GATTACTGTTAATTTATTATGCTGATCTGTTCTGTACGACATCTATTGCACGTCTGTCCGTCCTGGAAGAGGGATCCCTCCTCAGTTGCTCTTCCTGAGGTTTCTACTGTTTTTTTTCCCCGTTAAAGGGTTTTTTTGGGGAGTTTTTCCTGATCAGCTGTGAGGGTCATAAGGACAGAGGGATGTCGTATGCTGTAAAGCCCTGTGAGGCAAATTGTGATTTGTGATATTGGGCTTTAAAAATAAAATTGAACTGAATTGAATTTAAGTGAAAGTTGTTATTTGTATTGTTATAAATAAATGATAAATATAAATGATATAAAGTGTAAATAAAGATTTGATTGGTCATTACCCATAGGAGGCGTGGCCAGAGTCTGCCGTCCAGCCAGCTGGGCGGGGCCTAATCCCTCCAGGAAGCCAGTGAACTGTTTGTCTGACGCCAACTTTACTCCGGGAAATATCAGACTGAAAGGTAAAAGGGAGAGTGGCACATTAAAAGGGGCGTGGTATGTTCAAATGGGAGGGGCATGTTAGAAGGGGGGGGGGTGTAACAGGGGGAGGGGCATGTTGGAGCAGTATGTACTGATTCTTACGCTCCAGGTTTAGGGTCCTCAGCGTCGGGGTCACGGCTTGGCTGTCGGGTGAAACGAGATTTAAACTCGATGGCCAATCCTGTCTCTACACTCCTCTGGACAGGAAGTCTCACCACCTTCTTCTTCTTCTCTTCCTCTGGAGACAGACAGAGAGAGAAGAAGAAGACGTGAAGATTTCAGGGCCTGACGTTGATCCCTGCAGGGCACCTCTATCGACCCTGGTTAAACGGGGACTGACCCTCGGGGTTGAGCTGGGAGGCGCTCTGACTCTTCTTCCCCAGTCCCACCATTCCCATCATCTTTGCTCCGAAACTTGAGCGCCGCTTCTTGTCGTCGTCATCGTCGTCATTTCTCCCGAGCGAACAAATCTCTCCACCAACGCTCGATGACTTCTGGAGCGGAGCTCCGGGTGCCGGCCTGCGGGAGAAGAGAGGAACAACCACACCTGTCAGTCACCTGTTGTGGAGGTGGGGTCTGGAGGTAAAGGGGGGTTGGGGGTTAGGGGGTGTGGTCACAGCAGCAAACACAGGAAGTGGGTGGCGTCATTACTGTCGCTGTCTCCAGTTGGAGCGCCTCATTGGTTGATCTCTTACTTTGCAGGCTCAGGCTCCTCCTCTGCTTCCTCCATTGATTCACACTTCTGCAGTGTAGCTCCGCCCTCTGCTGCCCCCCCTGCTTCCTGTGTTCCCTCTGACCCCGCCCCTGACTCCACTGATTGGCCCTCCAGAGCCTCCGCCTGACTGTCTCAGCGAATGGGAGGAAAGAATGGCAGCATGCAGACAGAAACATGCAGGAAGAGATAGAATAATGAAGAGCAACACATGCTAGCATGCTAACAGAAACAAGAGCATGCTAACCTAAAGAAAAATGCAGGTAACAAACATCATGCTAATGTAAAATACTGTTAGGCTAACAATAGCTAACTTTAGCTACAATTTGCTACCCACCAGGTTAACTGTTCCCAGAGATCTGGTGAAACAGTGTAAGGATAACATTACTAGCTAAACAGCGATGAATATGCTAATAAGATGGTGTTTAAATAACAGTATGTTAATGCCAACATGTGTCATGTGTAGGTGTGACATCATAAACATTTTAATCTGCGATTGGTCACCGGTCTAACCTGATCTTGGGGACAGATCGAGTGTCGCTGGACATGGCCGACACGTCGCTGACATCACTGTCTGATGACTTAAAGGACAGACTGTCCCTCATCTGGAGACACAGACAGAGGACAGAGGTGAGCAGGTGTGTGACATCATCAGTGATGTCATGTATTGTGTGATGTGTCAATGTGTTTCAATTGCTCACCTTTGACAGATCCTTCATTACACCTACGGAGACACAAGAGGAGAGTTTGTTTGTTATTACGACCACTGATCAGTGATGTTATATTTTAGTCTCTGATGTCACAGGAAGTTTTTCAAACAAAGAAGTGGCATCACAACATGAAACACAGCCAATTATCTTCTGGTCCCAGACATCACAGAACGCATCATCAAGACTGGACTTCTGGAGAGTCGAGTGCACACCAAAAAGGAAACAGGAAATCCAAACCCAAGCTTATCCCTTCCTCTAATCACCACATCATCACAAACCAAGGTGTCACATGACTACAGGGGGAGGGGCTACCTCTCTGCGGGTGGGTGGGGCTAACAGTTGGTGCCATACCATTGGCTGTTTTGGTTTGCTGGTCTTCCCATGTGACCTCTGCATCATGATAGAGAAAGAGACGATTGGTCAGATGACACTAACACTCTGAACTGTGCAGGTGATCCGTCTGAAAACACCTGACCAGGATCACCTGATCCACCTGAGAATCGGACTTGCCTTTTCTAGTCCCTCCAGGTGTGGCTGAGCGTCTGTCTGGGTCTGACATGGACCAGTGGGATGTGATGATGTCGGTGTGATGAAGGAAAGATGAACACAAGAATGAATGAATGAATGAATGAATGATGACTGAGAATATCTACCACACATGGATCTACCAGACTACTGGTTCTATTAGTTCTACTGGTTCCACTGGATCTACAGGTGTGGACTAACTGGACAGACTGGTTTACACCCATCAAACCTGTGATATATACAAACCTGGAGTCAGTGGGGGCGGGACAGGTGAGGGGGCAGGTGAGGGTATAGGGGTCGGTGTTGGGGCAGGTGGAGTGGGAAGAGCAGGTCCAGGAGGTGGCACTGATTGGACTACAGAAGGGGCAGGGGCAGGTGCAGGGGCAAGAGCTGGTGCAGGAGCAGGGGCAGGAGTCGGTGCAGGGGCAGGAGCAGGGGCAGGGGCAGGGGCAGGGGCAGGGGCAAGAGCTAGTGCAGGGGCAGGAGTCTGTGCAGGAGTCGGTACAGGGGCAGGGGCAGGAGCCCGGGCAGGGACCGGGGCAGGGGCAGGGGCAGGAGCAAGAGCTGGTGCAGGGGCAGGAGTTGGTGCAGGGGCAGGAGTTGGTGCAGGGGCAGGAGTCTGTGCAGGGGCAGGAGCCTGTGCAGGGGCCGGGGCAGGGGCAGGTGCTGGCTGGGGTTGAGTGGTTCCAGGAGGAGGTGGGGCTTGGATTCGTATAAGAGGAGGTGGCTGATGATTGCCAGGGGGAGGGGTTTGTTTGTGAACAGGGGGTGGGGTTTGTTTGTGAACAGGGGGTGGGGCCTGTTGATGCGGAGTGGGAGGGGCTGCAGCTGTAATCGGTGGTCCTGTGGTGAGTGTGGCCAAAACTGACGGACAGTAGAAACGGAAAAAAAAAGAAAAGATGATCAGACCGATGAAAGAAAACAAACAACCAATGAGATGAAGGATGATCACATGACCTGCTGCAACAGCTAACCATTTACATGGTTTGATATGAGGGCAGATTCTAATAAAACCCACCACATTAAGGTGGAGGTTCTTGGAGGGATCCCTCAGAGACAGCTGGAGGACTCAGCCAGGGAAAATGACATATGCTACTTTTATTAGCTTGCTAATCACCCGAACCAGGACCAAGACCAAGACCACCATCAGGACAACAGGATCACAGTGTGTAAAGATGCACGATGGCTTATGTGGTGGATGGGAGATTTCGGAGGGAGTGGATATTCAGGAACCAGCAGGACCTACTGGCCAACAATGATGAGTGGCTTATGAGCTGGTTCTGACTGCCATGCCCAGTGCTGCTGGATCTCTGCGCTGCATTGGGCCTGATGTTGCTAAGAAGCACCCACAGGAACCAAGCTGTGCCGGTGCTGTGCTGCACAATGTGGCACACCGGAAAAACATGCCACTACCATTTCATGCGTTTCAGTGGCCATTTATAGGCACCTATGGGTGGGACAAGATATCAGGATATTTTTGTGCGTAAGCACTTTCTGCACTAAGCTCTTTGTTCGTACGTCACCTTTCCTGCGCACTGTTTTATAAATAAGGCCCCTGGACAAGGACTCTTCATGGATCCTGGAACAGCTAGAAACACTTTTATGTCAAATGTGCTCAGACTCAGAGGCTAGAGACTCAGACCCTGTGATGATCCTGGAACACTTCCTTGGACCTCGTGGAGGGGCTACATCTCCCAGGCCACCAAGCTCAAACCTTCTAAACCCAAACCCAAACATGTTGCGAGGGTTGGGGGGGGGCTTGTCATTGGGGCTGTACTCGCATCAAGGGGCATCCCCACTAATACCAGGACCAAAGGTAGTTCCAGGTACTGTAACTGTGGCCCCAGATGATCAGCATCATGAACGCTGCTGGCAGGTAGTCAGTTGATCTGACACGTCACCTGACAGGTAACTAAAAGACGTACTTCTCTCCGGTGCTCCTTTGGGCGGGATGATGGGCAGCTGGCGTCCTCGGCGGCTGCAGACTGGTGTTCCCGTTGGACTCGTCTGGGCGGATCCGCCTCGTGGGTTCGCCCTGTCGGAACAAAAACAAGGGACTCAATCTACCAACCTGATCAGAGGGAGGCAAGGCAGCACCTGCAAGGCCAAAGGTCAAACGTTAAGCTAGGCATGCTACGTTAGCTAACAAAAGCTAGTGGCTAAAACTCTTATAGTACTGATGGCGGTGAATTTGCACATGCTAGGATAGTGAAGGAATGACCCACTCTAGTCTTGTTGTGGTTGGCTTGTACTTGTTGCTTCTGTTGGTTAGGTTGGTTGACATTGGTTAGGGTTATGGTAAGAATGACGGGGTGACCCAATCAGAGGCAGAGTAAAGCAGGCCATTCCTTCATTAACCAAGGAAACACAAACTCACTAATGGTCGCTAATGTTAGCACATGTTAGCAAACAAATAGTCAACCAACAAACAGCCAATCAGCTCCAGCATGCTGCCAAACAAATAAAATAGAATATTAAACACATGTAGAAAGAAAATAACACACTGTGAGCCAATCAGGACGCAGAGGGGGAGGGGTTAAAAGAGTAGGGGTGTGGCCATTGTTCAAACAGACGTCATGCTTCTCTGCTTCATTCAACAAACACTGCGGAGGCAGAGCTGCTTTCCTAATGGTCTGGGTCGGATCACCTGGTCAGGGCAGGTGAGGGGGGGGCGGAGCGTCTGGACCTAAAGTGGGCGGAGTCAGCTCTGTCGGTGGAGTGGGAGCGTGCGTAGACGGGTCGGTCGGCCATCGCTCGCTGGTCAGCCGAGCGAGAGCGACTGTAGTAATCCCGCCGGTCCATCCCCCGGCTGAACCTGCACATCACCATGACAACTGTCAACCGTTGTAGCCGTGACAACCACTGCTGCACCTGCGGGAGGGGTTAGTTAGTCACGTCACCGTGACGACTGCCAGGACGGTTGTACCTGTGGAGCGGCTGCGAGGTGGATAAACAGTAAGTCACTTATTTGGCACTACATTTCCCATGAGGCCTCAGTGAGGGAGCAAAGGAAGTAAGCGGTAAGGGAGAAAGGGAGTAAGTAAGACTAATGTCCTCTACACCTACACCTGTCTACCATCCCTGAGTCAAACTGTCCCTTTACCTCAGCAGTTCGTCATCATAAGCGTCCGCTTCATAGGGGAAATCGGGAATGACGTCCTGACTGAAAAACAGAAACACATCAGACACGCCTGCACCTGCACAGGCCACGCCCCCTCAAACTCAGAACCCTCCCTCACTGACAGGAGGTATATCTCTTTCAGTAATACTACGACTGCTTTCAGCCGTTGTCATCCTCTAGCTAACACTACATTACCCATAAGCTCACCTGTAGTCCTCACAGCTCCCATTCATCACGTGGTTCGTCCACGTTGGTCCAGTTTGTGTCGGACCATTAAAATATCTGACACACAGAGAAACACAATGATGACCAAGACACAACTTTTATCCTGCAACTACTACTGCAACTAATGCAACTACTACTGCAACTAATGCAAGTACTACTGCACCTACTTCAACTACTACTGCAACTACTGCGACTGCTGCAACTACTGCAACTACCACTGCACCTACTGCAACTACTGCTGCAACTACTACTGGGAACTACTACTGCACCTACTGCAACTACTACTGCAACTCTGCAACTACAACTACTACAACTACTGCAACTACTACTGCAACTACTGCAACTACAACCCCTGCAACTACTACTGCAGCTAGTGCTGCAACTACTGCAACTAAAACTACTGCAACTAAAACTACTGCAACTACAACTACTGCAACAACAACAACTACTGCAGCTTCAGCTACTGCAACTCTGCAACTACTACAACTACTGCAACTATAATTATGACAACTATTACTGCAACTACTGCATCTACAACTACTGCAACTACTACAACTACTGCATCTACTACAACTACTGCAACTACCACAACTACTGCAACTACTACAACTACTGCATCTACAACTACTACTGCAACTACCACAACTACCACAACTACTGCAACTTCTACTGAAACTACTATATCTACTTCAACTACTGATGCAACTACTGCTGCAACTACTGCAACTTCAGCTACTGCAACTACAACTACTAAAACTACTAAAACTACTGCATCTACAACTACTGCAACTACTGCATCAACAACTACTAAAACTACTGCAACTACTGCAACAACTGCAGCTATAACTACACTATTTAAAGTACTACTGTGGTTGTTCCTTCTACAGCTGCAGTACCTGTCATGGGAATCCAGAGAGGTGGCAACTGACATTCTCCTCATTGGTCTCCTGAATGTTCAGAGACAGACAGTAAGATGGACCAGTACTAAGACCAGGACCTGTTCTGCATCCAGTAAAACCAGCAGTACAACCAGTGCTACAACCAAGACTACAGCTGGTACTGAAAGTTACCTTTCTAGGCTGCTGTACTGGCTGGCGTCAGAGTATGCTCGGCTTAGTTTGGAGCCTCGCAGCAGCCGCACGGCATCTTCGCGGTACAACGGGTACAGAGGGGTAATGCTGGCAACCAGAGGTAAAAGGTTTGGTAGTCAGAAGTCAGTATGTAGAGGGTCAGGGGTTAGGGGGTCAGACATCAGGGAGTCAGAGGTCAGAGGGTCAGAGAGTCAAAGGGCCATGGAGTCAGAGGTCAGTGTATAGAGGGTCAGGAGTTAGGGAGTCAGAGAGTCAGGGAGTCAGAGGTCAGGGCACAGGGGTTTGAGGGTCAAAGATCAGGGTGTAGTGGTTAAGGGGTCAGAGATCAGTTGGTAATGGATCAGAGGTCAAGGCGTAGTGGTTAGGGGGTCAGTAATCAAGACTCGGATGTCAGAGGGTTGAGGAGTCAGAGGTCAGGATGTCAGAGGTCAGAGTGTAGGGAATGGGGGTCATAAGTCAGAGGGTCAGGGAGTCAGGGGTTTGGGGTCAGAGATCAGGGAGACAGAGGTCAAAGGGTTAAGGGGTCAGAGGTCAGGACGTAGGGGTTTGGGGGTCAGTGATCAGGGAGTCAAAGGGTCAGGCAGTCAAAGGACCAAGGAGTCAGAGGTCAGGGTGTAGGGGTCTGGGGGTCAGAGTTTAGAGGGTCAGAGGGTCAGAGGGTGAGGGATGATGAAAGAATGAAGTGGTGTAAAATGAATGTGAGGTCTTTCAGGAAGCTCAGTCTCCTCAGCTGGTTACCTGTGAGGAGGCGGTTGGCTCGGCGACCGTGACCTCATCCTGACCACATCTGATCGAGAGCAGTGATTGGACGACATGACTTGCTCTGGCACTGAGAGGGTGGAGCTGTGAAAATCCCGCCCATTCTGTCTGTAATCTGGACACAAAGGGAAGAGGAGGAGGAAGTTGAACCATCAACCCTGACCAAGAGTCTGGCTCTTAGGACTCAGTCAGACCAAGATCTGAGCTGCAGGGGCTGTAGTGCATGATGGGACATGGAGTTCACCTGATATCACCCCGATTCCGTCTTCACAGTCATAGTCTGAGAACTCACTGTCACTGATCCTCTGAGACCCTGCAGAGACACAGAGAGGGCGGAGCTTTAATCCTGTAAGCAGCTCGTCGGTAATCCTCCACAGGAAGGTCAACTAATCTGACCCACAGGAACCGCACAGGGAGATAAGAACCTCCTGATTCCACACACAAACATTCAACAATAGCTTCAGATTTTACCACATAACCTCCCCTGAAACCTCCCTGGGAACACCTCAAGGACTACTGAAACCCCCTTAACCACATCTAGACCCTTTAAAGAGCTCCTGGAGTTGGTTATAGATTATTAGAACAGCAAATGGCACATTCAGACTCCCTGCAATGACTCTGAACCCCCCATGAAGACCACTGAGACCCTCAAAATGACCTTAGATCTCACCAACCTCTCTAAGATCCCCAGGACTGTCTTGAAGACAACTGGACCCCCCTTTCCAAACCCTAGAACATTTCTGATGATTCTTGAGCACTCGGGACATAAAGAGGACTGAGCCATCACCACAAGGATTTCTGGAATCCCAGATCCCTGTCAGGATGCCTGTAGACCCCAAACACATTTTTAAGGAACCCTGGAATCTCATCAGCCTCTGAAACACAGCTGGGTAAACCTCGCAGAGAGGACCGCTAGAACCTTCTGGAGAAGAGTTGGACCTTAAAGCATCTTTCGAACCCCCTCAAGGAAGAACCACTTCATGAACCGTTGAGGCATCACCACAGACTTTTGTAACCATCTTGTAGCACTGGGGCGGCTTTGAAGACAATTGGAACCACCTCAAACCATCTGGAGGTCTGTTAGATATAAAAGACCACTGGAACACCACTCAGAACCTACAGAACCCCAACAGGGATCTCTGAGACCTCAACTAAAGACCACTGAGACCTTCTTAGAGAACCTTGAAATAGAGACACACAAACACACACACACACACACACACACACACACACACACGTGTCATTACCTGAGTTATAGTACGGACCTTTGTCTGGCAAAGCATCATGGGAGAAAAGTAAAACAAAGTCAACAGAAGAACAAATAAACAAAACAAAATGATGAACTGAAAACAAAAACAGGATTGTGTGTACTCTGTGTACTCTCAGTGTGTACTCTGTGTACTCTCAGTGTGTACTCTGTGTACTCTCAGTGTGTACTCTGTGTGTACTCTCAGTGTGTACTCTGTGTGTACTCTCAGTGAATGTTCTGTGAGTCTCACTCTGCAGCCTCCTGCTGGGCGGGGTGTCCTCAGGCTGCAGTCCTCTCCTCTGCAGGTAGGGGGAGGCATTGGGAAGCGGCACCGAGGAAACGTCATGGAGCTGCAGTTTGTACCAGTGAGGCTGATCGTCTAGCAGAGCCGACTCCAGCTCTATGAGGACCTGAGACACAGAGACAGCTGTCAGTACATGTATGGAACATGTCGAGTTCTATGTGTTCTCCATGAACATTCTGACCTCTCCCAGGAACTGGCTCTCCTCCTCTCTGACTCGTGCCTGATCCCAAACCGTCAACTCCAACATCCGTTCTCTGAACTCCCGCCGGTGGACCGGAGAGTACATGAAGGTCTGGTTCCACCGAGGTTCCACTGATTTCTTCACCGTCTTTGTTCTGCGCTTACTCTTATCACTGCGATAAGGGGGAGATGATCAACAGCTAATCACAGAGCAGGACCCACTGCTGCTTACACAGAACCAGACCAGAGGTTCTGGAGGTTCTACATAGAACTGACTGGTTCTTTTTTATACCTTCTGTCCGGCAGGAAGTAGATCTTAACGTAAGGGTTCCTCGGTCGCCCGTCGTCTCGGACAGGAAGTTCTTTGGCTCCGAGAACTGTGACAATCAGCTGATGACCGACTTTATCGTACCACAGCTTCACCTGTAGAGATCAGGACAGCAGCATCAACGACAGAACAGAACCTACAGCCTACAGAACAG